ACTAGTGAGACTCGGGACCGTGACCTGCAATGGGCCAAAAAAACGCTGGTCACGGCCCCGCTTCCCAAAATACACAGGGAATCGGGACGCGAGCAAGCCCGCGACGTATTAGACTGAGGAGAGATAAGTGCTAGACCTCTTCTTCTAATCTAATACGCTAAGCTTCTGGAAATAAAACCATGCGAAGTCATAGGTCCCCGATCACAATCGCAAGAATATAATGAACAATACAGAATAGAAATAACATATCATCGAAAGTAGATCATCCGAGACATAAAATACGGGCCAACATGCCCTTATACAAGACTCTCTGAATGAAATACTGAATAATAATATATATAATAACCAGGGTAAGAAAATGGAAAAAGAAAACTAAGATCAAAATAACTAAGCTTCAGCTTCTTCTGCACACCGTCTTCAAGGCACTACCTGTTGAGTAATCATCTGACTCCTGTGAACCTAGCTCTTCTCCTAGTCTGCGTACACCAGAGAAAACATGTGTCGTCAAGGTGCATGACGCACGGCAAGACCCGACCCACAAAGAAAATAGGAACGGTCGAATGACCAATGCAATAACAGATGCAACAGTAGTAATAATAATAGAAGAGTGACCAAGCGTAACATAAATAGAAACATGTGATGATAGTAGTAACAATAGAAGTATGCAACTGAAATACTAACAAGCTAGATACAATCCATCACTAGGTATAACAATCAGGAAAATACACATCCGAAGTAACAAGATCATACAGCTAGCCATCCTATAATCATCCACATAACAAATGTCATACAACTAGATGGAAATTAATATTTAAAAATCTACAACTCGAGACTTAGTACGTCGAGCGAAATAATCCAAACAAGGAAACCGCTCATGTATACCATAATGTTCAAATTGCAGATAATTAAATATTAATCCTAATCTAGGTATGGAAAGAAATACAACTGGCCTACATCTCACAAGAAGTCATACCTAGCCAAGAAACGATGTCGTGTAAGCTAGCCATCCTATAACAGTCACTGGTCCACATTCATATAAGTCAACGCTGCTATATCACCGGATAACTGACTGTTCACGAATCCTCTACGCGCATCCAATACCGCTACACAGCGAATCGGTCAGAGGACTACACGCAATCCGGATCTCGCCTGGTCCGAACTCAGGCAAAGCTCAGGTGACGAAACAAGTCACGGACTAAAGTGACATCCGAATCACTTTTAGACCAACAAACCAACCCCAGTGACTAGCACGATTCACGACGTGGCTGGAAGATACATCAACAGTCACATCAATGCACATGAACATTAACTTCCCCATCCCAACTATTCGTTTTCTAAGTCAACCATAATCTCTGTGAAACTCGCTTCACCACCTAACTCAGTCAAACACTCGCACACATGTCACTAAGTCTGTTTCATGAGCGCACGAGGCGCACTAAGTCATGATACTACTAAGAGTTCTCAAACACAACATGGATAACACATAACAGACATGTCAAATACATTAAATAAATGCAAAACGTGAAATATGATCGTAAACAGTAAAAACATACTTGTAGTCCGGTTTCACCAACATCTTGTTTATCCAGCCATTTAAAACTATATCATATAAAATCATAAATTACTTAAATCTAAAATAGATAATTACTTTGCGAATAAATTCCTTTAAATCATCATAATTATCAAAAATATAATTCTTTTGCCGAAAATAATTCTTTTAAATTATTATAATTTTCTAAATGATACCGTTCTCAAACAATTCTTTTAATTAATATAATTAGTGCAAAAAGATTGCACTACCGAAATAAAATTCTTTTAATTCATAATAATTATTCTAAAATAATCTTTCTCAAAATAAATTCTTTTTAATTATTATAAATTCTCTAAATTGGTTTCCGTGATCAAATAATTTCTTTCAGCTTCATTACCATTATTTCGAAAATACTATTTATCACACAACTATGAATTAAATCAATAATTATTCACCAAAAAACCCACGCAATTAATTATAACACAAACTAATCTACACATAAAAATATTGAAACGGGCAATAGGAGAGGAGAGAAGTCTTGCCTCGGGGTTCGACGGCTCGGGCTGACGGACGACGACTCGACGCGCGGGCTAGATCGGTTCGACGGAGGCTGAACTGGAGGGCGACGGTGACGGGATCTTGAGGTGGTCGGGTCGGCAGGCTGCTTTCGCAGGCGACCGGCGCGCGAATAGGGCGCTGGCGACGGTGGGCAGGGAGGCAGGCGGTGATGGCGGTTGCCGGCGGATCTGGCGTCAGGGCTCGGGTGCAGCGGCTGTTCAACGTTTGACGGAGGCAGAGGCGAGCTCTGTGGCGGCGGAGGGTCGAGACAGCGGATGGAGGCGGAGGTCGGAGATTCGGCTGAGGCGGTGGTCAGGCCGACGGGGGGCCGGAGATGTGGCAGGAAGTGAGGTTATGAAGTCCGTAACACGGGTTCCTTGTGGGCGTTTGGTTGGGTGTGGGTTGGCGTCAGGGATCAGGACGGCGAGCGGGTTGCAGGCTGAGGCCGGCGCGGTGGCGAGGGAGGCGGAAGGCTGACGAGTTCGGTGGCTGTCGGTGAAGGCGACGGTGTTTGGGTTGTCGGGGAGAGAGATGAAGGAAGAGAGAGAGAGAGGGAATAGGCGGCGGCTGAAAAAATGAATACGAGAGAGAGAGGGAGGGGTATATATATATATATATACATATAATTAGGGTTAGGGTTTAGGTATTTAACTAAAATAAATAAAATAAATAGTTATGGGTATTTAAAAATTAAACTAATTGCATAATAATTATCTACAATTAAAAACGTACATGTTGAGCTAATACAACAGTTGATACGAAATAGTCAAAATATACCCATATTGTATAATTAAACTAGAATAATTAATAATAAAAATATTTTTACTTAAATTTAAAATCAAATAATTATGAGATAATTATATACACAGTAAAACGTACTAGTTATACTAATACGACAGAAAGTATGTAACAGTGGAGATAATACAATAAATTATACCAAAAACACGTAATTAATAATACCATGTATTATATAAAATAATTTGTAATAATATTAATAACACAATATATTATTTAAAATAATACGTGATAGTACCGATAACACAACAAGTTAATTATAGAAATTTTTACTGCATAAAATAAATTTTTAAATATCAAAATCATTTAAATAAATATATAATCATATTTTTAAATCATAGAATATTATAGAAAATCAAGAAAAATACAATTACTATTTTAAAAATAATAATTAAATATTTTAAAAAACTAAAAAATTAGTATTAAATTTTCACGGTCATTACAATACCAATGAAACTAAATGGAAAATTCTAAAGGACGATTTTAAGACCAATTATGCTTTATGAGCCAGAGTATTAGGCAATTTTAAAACAACATATTCAAAAAATGAGTGTAGCAGAAATGAGAATGATGTGATGGTCTTGTGCGTATATGTTAAAAGATAAGATATGAAATGAGTGTATCCGTAGTAAATTAGAGGTTGCTCCTATTGAGGATAAAATAAAAGAGAATAGATTAAGATGGTTTGATCATTGTTGATGGTCTAAATCACACAGGTAAACTAATATGAACTAAGTTGATTAGGGACCGCTAACTTCTCTGAATATCTGATTTTGAGTTGAGCTATTCTTTCCTACATAAGTAGCAACTCGTAAGAGGACGAAGTTTATTTCCCCCGCTGTTCCTCGTACTGTAGCAATTCTTAAGGGCAGTTGAACTGTAGCAATTCTTAAGGGCAGTTGAATGGAGAAAACTGCAAGAAAACTGCTTGCCCTCACGTTGGGAAATAGTTTTTCCTTTTATAGTCATGTAGGAGGGACATTTTGGTCTCTTTCGGTCGAGTCTGAGCTAACGGTTGAGTTAGCGTCGACTTTACAGGTGTCGACTGTGGAGTGGTCACAGAATGAGCGCGACCACTTCGGCATTAATGATGGAATAGACGACGTACGAAGCCGACGTGGTCTGATGTGCCATAAATAGTGCCATGGATAGAGAAATAATGACGCCTGCCAATCATTTAATGTGATGTCGACGCGCTGTCAGCGGGAGGTTCGAGGTCGATGTTGTTTTTTTTTCTTGTATCGAGGGGTGTCGAGAAGTACAGCTTTTCAAGTCATCTTCGATGAGAGGACTGACAAATACCGTCATTCGAGCCGATCCAGCGAGATGTCGACTCAGCGAGTCGACTAGATCGGGACCTAAGGATTGAGTTGACTGAATTGGACGTAATGGGGGAGATTTGTCTGTTGTTGATAAGGGATCATAATTTGACGACTGAAATCACCATAACAATCATGTTCAACGGAGACCCCTTAGTACACTGATTATGAAAAGTGATAGTATTACAAATAATAGGGGTATGAGATCTAGAGGTAGACTTAAAATGATTTGGTTTAAAGCAATTAAGAAGGATAAGATTAGGATTAACTTAACGGAGGAGATGACTCATAACAGAATGGAATGAAAAAATAAAATTCATGTAGATGGCCCTAAAAATTTGGGATAAAAGTTTAGTAGTAGTAGTTGTTGTTATTTTGAGGTCACTTTCCTAAATAATGATCACGACCATTAACTAACAATCATGATAACCCTAAATATTTAGGATAAGATTGAGATTAACTTAACGGAGGAAATGACTCATAACGGAATGAAATGAAAAAATAAAATTCATGTAGATAACCCTAAATATTTGGGATAAAGGTTTAGTAGTAGTTGTTGTTATTTTGAGGTCACTTTCCTAAATAATGATCACGACCATTAACTAATAATCATGATGCTGAGGCCCTAACTTTCCTAGCCAGCTCATAACTCTTTACTTTTCCATACCCGGCCCAAATCGCACAAGCCCAAAACCAGCGGCTAAAAGGCCTAAATCCCCGCGTGCAACGCCAACCGCCAGGCTGTCGGTCTCCACGTCGTAAGTGCCGGGTCGTTAACTTATACCAGCAAACTTTAACCTGTTCCGCCGCTCGGACCGCATGACTTGCAGGTCAGCGTCCGACTTCTCTGAACCCGGAACCTGATTCAGCGCAGCACAAAATCCCAGAATTGATCAGTTGTAGTCCAAGAAGAGTACGAGCTCAATTTGATACTATTTGTTCATCTCGAAGCAATCTCAGGTTTCTCTCGATCTAGATCGAGAGAGAGAGAGAGAGAGAGAGAGAGAGAGAGCGCAATGGCGAAGCCGAGGGCAGACGACGAGGAGCTGAGGAAGGCGGCGGAGGCGGCGATCGATGTCGGTGAAGGCAAGCAGAAGATCGCGATCGCGATTCGAGTGACGAAAAGCAACAGCATATGGGCGAAATCTGGTCGGCTGAATCGTCACATGTCGAAGCCGAGGGTTCTTGCTCTTACAAGTAAGTTTTCCTCTTACATTCTTGATATTTTGGTAATTTTCGATGCAGATCCTTTTATTTTTTTCCCTTCAAACTAGGTCAGTAGAATTTTGCTGCTGAAATTGGTGATCTGAATTTTCTGTATAAAGAGGATTGACGAGTAATGGTTTCAATTCGAGTTTGTTAGGGTTTCTTGCTGCTTTAGCTGAGACCATTGCTGCATTTGGAGGTGCCTGATTAGTAAAACAACTGTAGCAGCACAATTTTCCTTTATTATTAACTTTCTACGGACAAAAATGAGCTGGTCTTGTTCTTATCAATGCGAAACTGTTGATGTCTGATATCAAATAGTCAAATGAAAGGAGTGATTAAGTTGAGGGAGGTCCTCTAAACCTCTGAATATCTGTTTCTCTTTATGGAGTAAGCTTTTCTTCCCTGCACAAATAGCAAATCTAATATCAAATAGTCAAATGAAATGAGTGATTAAGTTGACGGAGGTCCTCTAAACCTTTGAATGTCTGTTTCTGAAGTAAGCTTTTCTTCCCCGCACAAATAGCAGATTGTAAGAGGGCAGGGTTGGGTTCTCTGATTATTCCTCCGACGATCAAGTCAGTGATTTACTTGAGTGATTTACTTGAGTGGAGAAGTAAAATGAACTACAGTAGTTTTTAAGCACAGTGGGTAGATAAAGATCTTATCCTATTATTGAAAATAGTATCCTTATTTATTGTGGTGGTAGAATGGTAGAATGATAACTTCGGCTGAGTATGAGATGACGGCCACGTCAGTCTCTGCTTTACACGTGTCGGGTGACGAGTGGAGGAGAGATCACCTCGATATGTAATGCGAATTGATTGGGGGTGTGCGGTGCTGACGTGGTCCGATGTATCATAAAGACTATTGAGGTTAAAGAGGAATGATGACACCCATAATGCATTTAATGACATTTATTGCGATGTGATTGGTCGTCAGTGCATGGGGGGGGGCTTGAGACTCGAGGTATTTCGTCACTTTTCTACTCATCCGATGGTTGAGAAGTATTGCCTTTTGAGTTGCTCTCGCAAGATGTCGGCCGATTAATCAGCCGAGTGAGATGATTAAGCAGTCGACTTAGCCAAGGGTCAGACACATAATGCCTTTCGAGTCGTCCTCACAAGATGTCGGTGTGTCGAGTCGACCGAATTGAGCCTTTGGTTATCTTAAAGCGCTGACTTGATTACGCATAATGTGAGACACTTGTCTGCCATTGATTGGAGATTATTTTTCATCACTAATATGGCTATAACAGAAACGTTTAGTCTAGACTTGACCGGCTATTCTAGATAATGAAGAGAGCACGAATAAGTAGGCTTGGAGTAATTTTTATCTAATTTTGTTGAAAAATTGCGAAGCTGAATGAAATTACTGACAAACAATTGACATGGCATTAGTGATTAGATTGCCTCTATCGTTAAACGGAAATGAGCTGGTTGTGTTTTTATCAACATAATCATTTAGGCTAGATGGTACCTCTCACTTCATATTCATTAGTCATTTTAAACAATGTACCCTTTAAGGCTGTCATAGCTGCACAAAGGCTATTCCGTCAATGCTTTAATATCTGAATGGCGGAGAGTATAAGAGGTCATGGTTTAGGTTCTCATGCTCTTTGACTCAAAAGGGTTCAAACCATGGGTACATAGACAATATATAAGAGCATTGCTATGCAACTTTATCTAACTATTAAATCGATAAAAATCTCGTGTTTCTGTATGAATTTAATAAATTATTGCACCATTTCCCCTTAATGTTTCAGTAATTGTATTATGTCCCTTGCATCTGGCGTTTTGTGCTAAAGCAACAACAGTATGGTCAATTTCTTCCAATCCATCATGGTTCATAAATTTAAAATTTTCATGTACCCTCAACTGTTTACAACTTATCGAAAATCTTAGAAGATTTACTTGGCACCACATTGTCGATCATAATCAGCTCCTTTAGACATACAAATTGGATACACTTCATTTAAACTAATCTCACAGCTTAAATGTTTTATATTGACCTATTTCTTGGGGCAACTTGCATGAACTTTGACATGCAAAGACTGGAAAATTCGTAGTTATTGATTGTGGAGGCATTATTGTGCATAGTCAAGCAGCAAAAGATAAATATGATTTACTTTTAGCTGTATAGAATCCTGGTCAATTATTGTGACCTGTCATATGAATGGTCAGAGTTAAAACCTGAGTCGTGAGTGATATGTATCCGATTATGAGGAGAGGTCTTTGCTTGGTTATGAGGTGCAATATGTAAATAATTCTCAATTAATAAAATTGGAGTACATCTTTGGTGTTAATCTTGATAACTGGACCTAAGTGGTGTAAAATGTGAATTTCTTCTGGCATCTCCTAGTGCCTTATATTCTTTATGGCTCATATATTAATCAGTTTCTGATCATGCAGCCACATATTCACCGCAAGGTCAAAAGCCTAAAGCTCTTCTTCATGTACTGAAATATTCTTCTGGAGGAGTTCTTGAGGTGATATTTTGGTCCCATAATGAGTTTTTTTGTTCATGTTATATGGTTCTCTGGCAGTTTTATGCATACAGAAAAGTTTCCTTTTCCTCAGTACTTATTTCCCTTGCACTGATAGTTTAATGAGGATCATTACGTTTAATAGATCTAAATGGAGAGAATTTATTCTGCTGGTCAACACAATTGGGTTAAAGTGTAATAGGGATCACTTACTAGAACTAATTATGCCTTGCATATTAGTTTGTGACTAACTATAATTAGAATCTTCTATATGTTAAGATTTAATATTTTCTAGCCCATAACATCTCTTATAGATGGAAGATTCCAGATCTACTTGAAAAAGATGTCATATGTGCTTCCTTCCCTTGAAAGAAATAAAGAATAAAAATTAACAATTTCTATCTGTTGTTGCCTTCTTATTTACTGTTTGCAGGTCAATAACCAAAATTTTCTCTCACTTTCTTAAGCATGCATTAACAAAATAGCTGCTTAGTTTAACCATGCTTACTTGTTTTGCATGTGTAGCCTGCAAAACTTTACAAGCTAAAACATCTTATAAAAGTGGAGGTTGTTCCAAATGATCCTACTGGCTGTACCTTCATGTTGGTAAGTTTTCTTTTCCTTTTGTCTTCTTTTTATTTGCAAATGTGCTCTATGGTGGTTCAGTATATTAATAGTAGGCAAAAAAACTACTAGTTCAGCAATGTAATTGTAGTATTTTCCGACAATATACAGTGCTTTTTATCTGTTTAAAATTTTGTATATTTTTGTTTAGGGTTTTGATAATCTCAGGAGCCAGAGTGTGGCCCCTCCACAGTGGACGATGCGTAACATAGATGACAGGTGATCGCTCTTTATCATAGAATTATTTCTTAGTATGATCAGGTTTTGTTTAAGGGTGGTAAACGATCGAATCGAATCGAATACTAAGGTGTTCGTATTTGTATTTGTTTAAAATTATCGAATTCGAATGTGGACTCTAATATTCATATATCTAGTTTTTCAAATTCGAATACTTGGTATTTGATAAATATTCATGAATACTCACGAATACTTATCGAATATCAAAGTATATTTATTCCGCTAAAGAATTTAATTTTCAAGTAGTATTAAAATTCATAAATAAAAATTATTCATTTATAATATATGATGCATATATATTTAAATCAAAATTTAATTAGAAAACAGATTTAATATTATTTAAGTCTTAAAATCGGTATATAAAAATTAAGTACAAATTGTAAGTGGGTTAAAAATACGACATCATATATGCAATAATACAAATAATAACATGTGATCAATTTTAAACGAATATTTAATAGACAAACGAATCGAATATACCTCTGGTCAAATTCTAATCGTTAGCAAACTCAAATACTAAAAAATATATGTTTAGTGTTAAATGAACTACCAAATTGAATATGACTGAATAGTTATTCGAACAATTATCGAACTATTTGTTAATTATTTGGTTCATTTCCACCCCTAGTTTTGTTTCCTTTTGAAATGCTTAATTAAAAGCCTTTCAACTGAACTTTGACAGTAAAAAATTGCACTTTTTCTCTTGATGTCTTCTATATTGTAGGAATCGGCTTCTTATATGCATTTTTAACATGTGCAAGGAGATAATGGGTCATATGCCTAGAGTTGTTGGCATAGATATCGTCGAGATGGCTCTCTGGGCAAAGGTATATCCCTATTCACCTTTAGTTACCCAACATGGTACACTATTTACTTATGCTATCACACTCCTTGTACTACACCTGCTGGATCATATCATTCTACATGCTAGGTATGAGACACATGTTTACAGATAATCCTTCATAGACACATGCTTACAGATAATCATTCATATTTACATATCTATTCTACCTGCTAGGTATGAGACACATATGCTTACAGATAATCATTCATATTTACATATCTATTCTACATGCTAGGTATGAGACACATATGCTTACAGATAATCCTTCATAGACGCATGCTTACAGATAATCATTCATATTTACATATCTATGTTTTGGTGGTACTGACTGCTGTGTGGATGGTTTTGGTTTTGGTTTAGGAGAACACCCCAAAAGTTACTCATCAGGTGAAAGCCCAAGACGGTCCAGTTGCATCTGTTTTGACACAAAGTGACTCAAAAGTTACCGTTGAGAGGGACCTTGTTTCACAAGCTGAAGAAGAGGACATGGAGGCTCTTCTTGGCACGTATGTCTTCTCACTGTTTTGTCTTCTCAAAACTGGTTCTTGCACCAAAGAAGTTCACATATTACATGCAATGACAAGGAGTTTTCACCAACTATGCCCTTGGGCTCATCTTAACCTTTGACTAGATCACAGCTAACAAACTTTGTCCTCTTCCTTCTTAATTTATATTGCAGATAAGTTTACCTCAATTAGCTGAAGTTTTGTTTACGTAATGTTTTATCTGTTAGTTTAATAGGAATTTTGTTACTTGTACATGTCCTTCAGCCTTTTGTGCTGGTCAGTAAGAGAGTTATGCTTCATGCCTCCATCTTTAAAGACCAATAACATGACGTGCCTGAAAAGCAGAGCTACTCCTGTAGTCCTATTGCATTAAGTCTCCTTAGTTGGGTCTTTAGCCTGAACTTCTAAGTTTCTAACAAGTGGTAGAGCCCCATGAACAATACTATACATTTGTATTAACTGAGTCGCAATTCCTGGTTTCTCATTCTGGCTAACAATATTGAACCGAGATCATTGTCAAAGGCTACAGTGTAAACTTATAGGTGGTAGGTTGTGCCTATTTCTTTCAGCCCACTTATTCTTCAATAAGCCAGACTTAGTCTGATAAATTGGTAGTAAAACTGGTAAAAGGTTGCATAAACAACAAATTAGCATATACAAAAACAGGATGTGAAAGTTGGGTGTACTGATATCGTTTAGTAGTGATGACTTTATGTTCTTGATGTGGTTCCCTCGATAATATTAGTTTATGTAATACGTGTGAACATCCTGCGTAAAGACATGCACAATCAAGCTATACTTTTTCATGCTCATGTCAGCAATAAAAGTAACTATCCTTTTATTTTTTATGGCTGCTGTTATTGCTAATGTGTCCTGGAGGTCAAAGTTTCTGAGTCAGGGAACAACCTCTTCACTATGTGAGTAAGGCTGCATAAGTGCATATATCTAATCTCTCCAACGAATTCAGTTGATGTGGTCTGTACTTATCATATTGGCTCTTTTAAATGTGTAAAGAGTAAAAAGAAAAATAACTCAAATACTAGAAGGAAGTCTAATTTCCATTTTCTTTTCTCTTTTGCCATTAGGGATTATTCTTGTCACATTTCGCTATACTTATCTTCTGTTAGATCAGTTGATTTCATTTAGCATGATATTTTGCAGGTATGTCATGGGCATTGGTGAAGCAGAGGCATTTTCTGAAAGATTAAAGAGGGAGCTACTTGCTTTAGAAGCTGCAAATGTTCATGCCCTTTTGGGCAGTGAACCCCAGATACAAGAGGTAAAGATCTATAAGACAAATGATATGTTTGTGTTCATTTATTCCAATAATTTTGAATATGTTGTAAGATTTGTCAATTAATATCTATTCTTCTGATCTTAATGTGTGGGACTCACTTGAACCATGCAATCTCAAATTCTTCAGGTATTACAGGGACTAGAAGCAGCTACTGCATGTGTGGATGACATGGATGAGTGGTTACGCATATTCAATGTCAAGCTCAGACATATGAGAGAGGATATTCAATCGGTATTGTTCTCTCACTACTTTTGAAATGGAATCAGCTAATATTGAGGCTGTCAGATAAAAGAATTGTTAGACTATGCTCTTATAATGAAACTACTGCATGTAAAAAGTGGTGTCTGAGAAATGGTTCCAATTGTGTTTAAACTTTGCCTTCAACATGATAATACGTGAGAATGCAATTCGGACACAGAGAGTCAGAGACCCATATACATAAGTAAAGGCTGTCTCTTATTACATTGGGCACTTATTTCCTGCTCAATCGCTTTTAGTCTAATAAAACTATTCCTGTACTTTATAAAATAAATTCATTTAATAAAATCCTGCACATAAAATTCAGTTTGTCAGATAACTGAAGTATCATTTTTATGGCATAGATTTCAGTTAAACAAAACTGAAATATTTTGAGTGAAACAAAATTTTCATAATCAGTCCCATATGAGCCGATGGTTCTACATGGAAAAAAAAATCAGGTTATTACTGGTATGTTCTATTGGCAATAATCTGCTCGAAAATCATCATTACAAATCTATTCACATAACTCTTGTAAATTTTGTCAGATATTGAATAAATATTAAAGTTTTATGGCACTTCAGGTCAATGATTTAATTTATTTTCAGTTGTTATAAATATATATATATATATATATATATATAATATATATATATATATATATATATTATATATAAAGAGAGAGAGAGAGAGGAGAGAGAGAGAGAGCAACAGAGAGAGAGAGAGAATATGGGTATGCTTGGTACCAAGCATAAATTGTGCTGGTAGTGAGGTGGCACAATCCCCTCTACTCATTCAAATGGGGGATCACATTCACATGAATTGAGGAGTGCATGGGGATATGCAACCATTTGAATGAGTGGAGGAGATTATGCTACCTCACTACCAAACATCACTTTTGTGCTTGGTACCAAACATACCCATTTTCTCTCTCCTCATATATATATATATATATATATATATATATATATATATATTATAATATATATATAATAATTGAGAAAATTGTAGAAACTTGGTACCAAGCACAAGTTTTGTGTTTGGTAGTGAGGTATCTTATTCCCATCCACTCTTTAACCCATGTTAATGTGGTCCCCTATTTGAATGAGTAGATGGGAATGAACCACATCACTACTAAGCACAAAAACTTGTGCTTGGTACCAAGTTCCTCCATGTTGCTTATATATATATATATATATCAAAAGCCTACTGGTTTGCAATTGTGTTAGGCCCTTGATCGTAGTTTTTGGTGTTGGAAAAAATTAAATGGGGGAACAAGGAGGAGAGGAGGTTGGGATTGGGTATTTAGATGATTTAGGTTACATACTATCTGTGGGTGGTGAGAAGAAAAAGATAATGTAGAAGAAGGGGCTAATATCATATAAAGAGACATTGTTTACGGGTCAACAACCATGTATGCCATCTGGAACATGTAGAACTTTAAGGCTTGAAGAGCAGATATCATGGTTGGAAACTCAAAACAGCTTAATAAATGGGATCGCGGTTTCCACTGGTAGTTCTCAAAGTAAACCTTTTTCTATGATGCTTTAGTTCACCTCAAGCTTCTAAACTGATGTGGGCTGGGCTGGAGTAAGTAGTGTTTGACTAACAACCACCAGAACTTTCAGTAGTGTGCTGCATTTAGAAACAGAAAAAGCCATAAACCTTTGGCTCACACTCCCTAACATTTTCCCATTCTCACACGTTACATATTTAAACTTCTATTGACAATAAATTACCTTTTAGAAAATGTGATTCCGCTTAGGAATTAGCTTATATTTTTCTGTGGAGATGGATACAGTTAAACACTAGCAAAATTTTACCTCTTAATCTTGTGTACTCTGTAATCTAGGGGGCAGTGGATACTCTTTGATAGCATACCCTACCTTTTAAACTGTCTTTTTATCTCAGTGGAAACTTTCTATCTTTGCCCTTAGTCATTGGTAAGTTTTTGATATGAAAATTATATGAGTGCTTTTGTGCAACATTCATTTTTTTTAAAGAGTTGTCCATTGGCGGACACCATCTGATGGAGAAGTGTTGAGGGCGATGAACTGCGAGCCTCATCTTTTATCTTAACTTTAATGAGCTTGATACTACCATAGATCCATCCGTGTTTGAGATGGGAACTCTTTTTTTTAATTAATTACTTTGAGTAACTCGTTTTTTTTCCCTTTCTCTTGTTGAAGAAATGCTATGACGCTGAAGAACTGATGACTCTGACAAATCAATCCCCAGATTCCTAGCCCATCCACTTGCAATAACATGGCCTAGCATGAAATATAGAACAATGGTTGTAGTGAAAGGTAGTTAACAATAATTTAGGTTTATTTAAATGATAACCAACCCTCCATCCTAGGTGGGAATTTCATATTCTTTCTGATAATTGCAGGTTAATAGAATAGAACATACTATATAAGCTTCTTCACTCTTTTGCAGTTTGGACTCTTCCATTCGTGGACCACTGAAGAGTCCTATATGACTTCATTGGTTATCCTACTTCAACATGGAAACTTCATATGTTTTCTGATTTGTTTTGCAGATAGAATCACGTAACAATAAGTTGGAGATGCAGTCAACTAATGATGTAGGGCTCATTGAGGAACTTGACAAGCTACTTGATCGTTTGCGTATTCCTTCTGAGGTATGGCTTATATTGGACGATGTAGATAACTCAGTCAATTTGAATATGTTTGATTGATGCTTAAGGATTACATTCTAAAATCAGATTGTCACACCTTGTACATTTTAATGTAGTTTGCAGCATCTCTAACTGGGGGATCATTTGAAGAAGCCCGAATGCTTAAAAATGTCGAAGCATGTGAATGGTTAAATGGAGCAATTCGTGGACTTGAAGTGCCTAACTTGGATCCATGCTATGCAAACATGCGAGCTGTAAATTCATTTCCTTAATATTTGCACTTGCATTTTCTTATAGTTGTACTATTATCTTATATATGTACGTCAGTTAACATCAGTAACTTGTAATCGTAGAGAAGTATAGCAGCTCTCTATGTTGAAATACAACCAATAAATGTTGAAACGGGTAACTTCAGTGAACTGGAAAGTTTTCGTTGTAGTTGGTATCTGTTAATATTAGTTTTATATGCATGATAAATCTTCTGATTTCAGATATGTTTCACTTTAACTAATAACTTGTGTTTTAATATCATGTGATTATTTTCAATGTTAGCATCACCACCTGGGTTCTTTTCCATTAAAGGGGGTCAGCTATGGAGCACAACTCAATGCTGAAAATTTTGAAACTGCTCCTTGAAAGCTTTTCGCCTTTTTGGTTCTCAAACACTATAGAAACTCTGAGAGAGGAACCACTTTTTAGCAACAAAACTCAGGACAATTGAGAGATCTGCCATCAAGCCTA